CACTGTGCCAGTCTATTTCTCTTAATTGGTGAATCGAGTCCATTTACATTGATGGTTAGAATTGAGATGTATTGACTTACAGTTGCCATGTTATTTACCTGTTATCGTTTACTCCTTTTTCTCCTGTGTTTAATTGCTTACCCTCTTTAGTTGGTTGCTTCTGATCTCATTCGTGGAGTTCTGATCGTTTTGGTCCCTCTCTAGAACATCTTTCAGTAGCCTCTGTAGTGTTGGCTTTGTAATCGCGAAATTCTTTAGCTGTTCTTTGTTATGGAAGGCGGCGGGGGCTGTGGAGCAGCAGGGGCGACTTGAGGCCTCCCGCGGGCTGCTGGTGACCGGTAGGGAAGCCCGAGAAGCTGAGGCTGTGGTGCAGCTTAGGCTGCGGCCCGCGCGGGAAGCCCAGCGGCAGCGCATCGCGGGTGCCCAGCCCGCCGCGCAGGTTCCCGGCCCCTGAGGCGCCCCAGTTCCCGACGGGCTGTCGCTCGTCCGCGTTGTGCATGAAGTGGCAGCGGGGCGGGTAGGCGCAGAAGCCGATGGTGTGGAACGTGCGGCACAGCTCCGTCTTGTACTTGGGGTGGCGCGTGAGGCTGCGCAGCTCGTGGAAGTAGTGCGCGAACAGGCACTTCTCGCCGTACTTGCAAGTACAGTTCTCCTCGAAAGGCCAGCACAACTCCGTCTTGTAACGCGTGAGGTTGATCTGCGAGCCGCCGCCGCCTCCGCTGCCCTTCTGCTGCCGCAGGTGCAGGAGGTGCTGGCTGCCCTCGCCCTTCTCACTGAACGAGCGGTCCCGGAACTTATTCTCCTTGTTGAGCAGCACCGTGCTGCCGCCCCCCACGGCGGCTCCTTGAGGGGCGCATAGGGGCCCGCGCTTCCCGCTGGGGCGCCGGGGAACTTGGGAGAGCAGCTGCCGGGGCTGGGCGCGGGCTGGGCCAGCGAGTGCAGGTTGCTGCCCGAATGCGGTGGGAGGAAGCCAGGCGCGAAGGTCGAGCGGGGGGCGTAGCCACGGGCGTCCCCACCGCCTTCTTGTCCAGCATGGTGTTCAGATTGAGGTTGGCCAGGACTTGTCCGTCTTGCACAAGAAATCGAAGTTGTAGAAGGCTGACAGAAGTGTGGTCGACATTTTTCTGGGTCCTGTAAAGGTCAGAGCTTCAGGTAGGGAGGTTGGGAGGAGCCCAGCCACAACGAATAAGAAGCTTTGCTGGGGGCGAGCACAGAGAGCTGGAAGCAGCGTGTATCAGGCAGGAGGGTGGCCCGCTCGGAGCCAAGGGCAGCTCGAGGACAGCTGGAACTCTGGAATTTATTTTCTTTTTTTTTTTTTGTAGTAAAAAAATGTCTGTTTATTCAAAATAGGACAGATATACAGCCACTTTCTCTTAGTTCAATGAGAAGAAAGATTTGTACTCATAGTGCTTGGACAAGATATCATGTCTGCATCTTATACTCTAAACAACCACTATAGAGACAACAATATACAATGTATTAATTATTGTATCTATCCTACTAACCTGTTTTGAAACTGTCTCATTGCTATTTCTTTCTCAATAAAATTAATTTTAAAAAAAGGCCTAAGGAATGTTTTTTCCCAAAATCATTTTGGGATCTTTTTTCAGTTTTATTTTAATGAACAAGTATGTTACTGAGAGTCAATACTGTTAAGTAGAAATATTTCATTCCCAATATTTTTATCAAGTTTTTAAGATATGTACTGCTTGACACATGCCACACATCACATTATATAGGTATTTTACAAACATTTAATCATCTGATGCTTGAACTATACAATGAACAGTAAGCACTGTAATAAACATCTTTTGGTAAATGAGAAAATAGCAAATTTTCCCAAAATTGTAGAGGTAGCGTGTTGGGGAGCTGGGAATTGAGTGTGGGCCACTTAGATATGAAACATCTGGTTGTCATTCATCTATTCTTTCAATTTGCTTAACTTTTCCAAAATTAAATTACTAGACATATTCTGAAATTCCTTAACCTCTTGTTTAAATGAGTATTATATTCTATCATACAAATACAACTTACACATGTAGAAATATCATATAGTACATTATATATGTTAGAGATCTGTGGTTCTCATCCCTGGGTACACTCTATAATCACCTAAAATGCTTTTTTAAATCTTTATTTATTGTTATTATTTTTTATTATACTTGGTTGTTGCAGGGTCTCACTACACAGCTTAGACTCATGGTGATCCTCCTGCTTTCAGCCTCCCCAGTGTTGGGATTACAGGTGTGTGCCACCACCCCCAGTGTCTTGTGGCTGGCTCAGCATGGCTGGGGGCAGGAACCGCCCAGCATGTGATACTCGGGATTGAACCTTGGTCCCTGTGCTTGCCTGAGCTTGCCTAAGCAGGCGCTTTAGTCCGCTGAGCTTTCTTACCAACCTAAAGTGCTTAAAAAATATTATTGGCTCTAACTCCACTCACCAGTTCTGATTTAATTGAATCAGGTGGACCCCAGATGTGGTGTATCTCGTAGGTGTCCAGCTTGACAACCCCTAAAGGCAGTCCGAGGTTGGAATTTATTTTCATAGAAGACTTGAAGTACTTTGCTCCATTCTCTTCTTGCCTTCATGTTTTGTGAAGATAGTTTGGACATTATTCTGATGTTTTCCTTTGAACATGACCTGCTTCTTTTCTCTAGCAGCTTTCAGTATATTATTCTTGTGCTAGATTTCTGGGATCTTGACTATTATATGTCTCAGTGTGTTTTTAATTGAGTTAAAGTTATTTGGCATTCTGCACACTTGGGTTATGTGAATGTCAGATTGTTCCTCATATTTGAGAAGTTTTCTGGTATGCTTTTCCCTGTCTACTTTTTAATCATTTGTATTGACTCCTTCTTTCTCATAGATGCCTATTAGTCTCACATTGTTCATCTTTGCATCATCTTGCAGGTGATGAATTATTTCTTCCTGCCTTCTAGTTGTTTTTAAGAGATCTTTTCCAACATTTTCACTAGCTGCACCAGCGTCTGCAAGATCTGAAACTCTTTCTTCACTTTCACTCAAATCGTTTTACAGACTTGTGATTGAGATTTTAAATTCCTCTATAACTTTTTGACTCTGCTTCATGTGATCTATTTATTTCCTGTATTGCTCATTCAATTAATGTCATTTTTCTAATGTCTTCTATTTTTTTTTATCAATGTCTTCTTAGAAGCAGTTATTAATTCTTTTACTGCAGAGTTTTTTTTTTTCAAATTGGCTTTCCTCCGTACCTTTCTGCATTGGATTCTTTTCCTCAGATGCTATGAATTCAGAGACTTCTTTTTTATTTCAGAAATTAATTCTGCTCTGAGTTCTTCTGTACCTTTCTGCTGTTGTTTCTTTACTTCTGACACTATAAATTTGTATACTTCAGCTGAGCTCGGTATTTGTTCTGTTTGGGTTTGAGGCCTGAGATTAAATGTTTGCTCCTTCTCTTTGTCATTTCCTATAGCACTTACATCTGACTTTTGGTGCAGAGCTTCGGTGCAGTTATAACCTTAGCACCTATTGAAGTTCGGGTGCAGATCTATTAAGTTTGAGTTTATCCAATTATGCCTGGCTTGGTTCTAGCTGTTGTGTTCATCTCCTTCCTGCTGCAGCCCTTGGAAGTGATCCTGTTGTGCCCCTGGCCCAGGGGGTGCAGAGAAGTGCAGAATCTCCCCCACTAGCTGGGCCTGGGCATGGGATGGATCTGGGTGTTTCAAGAGTGTTGCAGAGGTTCTCACTCACTCGGCAGTCTTGTGGATGGGGGCTGCGGAGGGCTTGAGAGGTCCGGAGGGCATGGCAGAGGGTCTCACTGAAGCAGCATGCCTGGGGTTTTGTCCAGAAAGCAAGTATATCATTCTTTGTAGCTGAATAATACCCCATTGTATAAAAATGCTGCATCTTTTTCATCCATTTGTCAGGTGACAGGCATTTTGGTTGCTTCCAAGATTTGGCTATCACAAATCGTGCTGCTATAAACATAGTTGCACATATATCACTATGTTATGATGTTTTCAGTTCTTTAGGGAAAATTTCCAGTAGAAAGATCTCTGGATTGAATAGAATTTCCAGTCCTAGTATTTTAAGGAGTCTCCACACTGATTTCCATAACGGTTACAGTAGTCTACATTCTTGCCAGCAATGCGGAAGTGTTCCTTTTTCCCCAAAACCTCTCCAACATTTGTTGTTGATTTCTTTATGATAGCTATTCCTTCAGAGCTGAGATGTTATCTCAGTGCTGTTTTAATTTACATTTCATAAATGGCTAGTGATGTGGAGCATTTTTCATGTATTTATTAACTTCTTGAATTTCATCATCTGAGAAGTGTGTGTTCATCTCAGATTCCCATTTCTGGATTGTGTCTTTAAATTTCGGGGCCCTCTATTTTAGTTCTTTATAAATTCGGGAAAGAAGACCTTTTTCTGAGTGCTTATTAGTTAAGATATTTTCCAAATTTGGATAGTACTTTTTTTTCCTTTGATCTGTTACTATGATAAGGGATATTTCTTTTTTCCACTTCTAATCACCCCTGTGTTTTAGCATGCATTTTACATTGTCATGACATATCATCTCTTGATTTCTGTGTCCATATTGGGATGCTGCTATTGGTTTAGGATTTTAAAATTAAGCTCATGGGGAGGATAAGTGCTACTGTTTCACTTCCCTGATTTCTTTTCCTCTTAGTTGGATGGATTTGACATTGTCTTCATAGAATGATTTCAGTGGAAGGGGCTCTTTTCAAGTCTCTGGGTTGATGTGACAGTTATGTATGTACTATGCTTTACCTCCTAAGTAGCACTTTCTAGAATATACAGACTTCCTAGGAATTATGCCTTTGTGTAATATTTTTGTCTTCACTGTGTTCTTTTGGTTCTGGCATCTGTATCTTTAGGTTGTTTCTCATGCCTATATGACGTGTATTCTGGGTTCATAGTCAATATTGTTCTTCCACAGTAACCCTTGAGAGTCAAAAAGTGAGATCTTCCCTGATATCAACTTTCTGAGACGATGCAGCAAACTTGGTAGAGATAAATTTCCAATGTACTCCTGAAGGATGTTTTTGAATTCCCTAATGAGAAAATCACTCCAGGCTAAAGGACAAAATGTGAAGGTACAGTAGAAGGATCATTCCACATTTAGGGACTTGACAAAAACTAGAAACTTAAAAGCTCAAGTACATCTGAATAAATGGACACAGATAAGACTGAGCAACAAGTTCTACTCATGTGGGAAGTAGGCTGGTGTTGAGATCCAGAGGCATTTTCTTAAATTCTATGGACTTAGGAAGAAGTCAGAAGGATTCATGCAAATAAGAAATGTCAAAGTGTACTTTTTACAATCCTCTCCTTAGTGAAAGAACAGAGGACTCTGTAGCTAAACCTTTTACAGTATGTAACTTTGGGCAGCATGGATGATGAAAAGATTACCTAGAGAGGAGACTTAATTAAGTCTCTGAGAGGTGCTGAGAGGCTATTTCTGCATGGAGAGCACTGAGCCATTAGGGAGACTCTGGGAGAAGAAAAATTCCATGAATCCTATTACTCTCTGGCTTTTAATTAGTGTAGCATTGTAAGAGAAAAAAAAGAAGGACAAAAATCAATTTTGCTCAGAAGAACACTAAGCAGTTTTTCTTTGGGAAATGGAAGGACTTGGCCAGACACAGTGTACTCTACTAACCTCATCTTGTTAACCGTTCTGTTCTCCCAAAGCCTGTGTGCTTTTGCCTCATAGTTGAATCATTCATTCTTCACAGAGTCTTTGAAATTTTGTCTTCACAGTTCATGTATTCATTCCTCACTAAGCCCACTTGTCTTTAACCTCACAGTTTAATATTTTTGTACTTGGATCTGCATTTTAATAATTTACACTTCATTCATCCTATGTACTTCTATATTGGAGTTTAATCATTCACCCTCAGCCAGGATCCTTGCATAAGTCCTACCTGGACTTCTCAACTCAGTAACTTTCTCCTTTTGAATAAGTTCATTCTCTTTTCCCATTATCTATTTCACCCTTCAGATTCCATTTTTCTTTCTTTGAAGTTCTCACATTAACCAGACTATATGATATTTTCACATTTGGGTCTCATTTATTTCATTTGAGAGTGTGTTTTCTAGCTGTATCAATTTACTTAAAAAAGACTAAA